CCTGATGGCTTTGAATCCCATAAGAAAGTTTTCTTTTCAATTCTTTTCTGTGAATGTTTTTGTAGGTTTGTTTGCCTATACTTGTGGTAGTATATTAATAATAGAAGATTTAAATACCAGTGAACAGAGACATTTACAAGGTAGGTACAGTATTATTGTTAAAATAATGAAGTGGAAAGTAGAAAATACAAATGATAGATGACAAGAAACAGAATAATGTTATACTTGTTGACATCAGACAAACCACCTGCAGATTATTTGAGAAAAATATAATATTAACAAGTATTTTATGGTATTTTAGGGCATACAGAAGAAATTTCCACTATAGCATTACAAAATGATTACCAGGTAAGCTACTGTCTTATTATTTCCTCCAACTTTCTGATTTAATGTTGGACAGAATTATTGGACAAGCAGTCCAGCTAGTAGAGGGTATGGAAGTGTTTCTCTCAGTCAGATTTGTATCTGGGACACTAAAGATCATCATGTATAATTTTAGGTCATTGCCTCAGCTAGTGGAGGATATGAGGGTGTTTCACCCAGTCAGATTTGTATCTGGGATATTAAAGATGGTATTTGTAAGAAGACGTTGTCCCATCATGAATATGATATTGTGTGTATGACCTATTCTAGAGATGACAGGTTTCTTGTTTCTGTTGGTAAGAAATCTATTATTTTATTCCTAATCTCAATCTCATTAAGTTCTTGTTTAATACAAAGATTTGGCTACAGCTTTAATTCAAAAGTTTTTTCCAATGAATACCACTTATCACTTTAAGAACAAACTTTTAAGAATAAAATAGCTCTGTGCAGGAAATATTAAGATTTATGCGTATGATTGTTGCACTTTTACAGTTTGTAATAAATCCACAAAGATCATTTGCATAGAAGACGAGTTGGAGAGGGCAAGGAGGTGGTGGTGATGTGTTTTGGGCAAATCACTTGTATTTTTGATAGTTTTCACAAAACGATAGGTTATTGTTTCTAGCAGGTATTCTCAACCTCCTAGTTTAGGTTGCATCTTATTGCTTGCTATAGCATTTATTTTTCGTTCTATATTACTGTAGGTGATTACCGTGAATGTAATGTTGTATTATGGAGTACTAATGACTATTCAGTACTAGCCACTACAACAACTGACTACCCTATACACGATATTCAATGGGACCCCTCTACAGTCAATGAGTTTTCTACAGTTGGTGAGAATGCTACAGTATTATTTTGGTTATTGGATGAAACTGTATCTGAAGTTGCTTTAAATGTTCATGTTGCTAATGTTCCTGATGAACTTGTTTCTTCAGTAAGTGTTTATAAAAAATCCTAAGAATACTTAACAAATAGAACTTCTGTGGTTTGTGCATTTGAAATAGATATAAATTGTCATTAATATACAATTACAAATTATATAAATGTTGGCTTCAGACCACAAAACATGAGATCAAGCATCATGTAACTTTTCAAGATACACAAAATTTCTGATGGACTTTGGAGCATTATTCAAGTTCTTGTTATATTACAAACTATTAATTTTCTAGGGAGGAAAGGCAGTATCATTTACAGCATTAGAGTTTGGTAATGATAGTACGCTATATATTGGTACTAGTCATGGTAAAATAACAGCCTGGGATACCAGACAGAACTCTTGTTTTATGTTATGGGATGGAGATGATGCTGAGATTGGTAAGAAATATGAATAATATGATTTGATAAAGTTTTATAAGAAACAGGCCTGCAAAACGCAGAGCTCATGTAATGTTGGACATTCTTAAGGCCACATAATCACATGATATGTACCCAATGGGCTTGTGAATGGGCCTTTTCCAAGTATCATTATATGACGTTATATTTCAGGGTATATGAGGGTAGAGAGTTTTATCTTATTCACACTCTATTGAATTGAATATGGCTAAATATATTGTTTCAGATTTACTGCTATGTAATGGTAATAAATTAATAACTGGTAGTTGTAATAATAATGTTAAACTATGGTCTCTAGATAATATCAATGATATTAAACAGTCTAATAGACCACCAGCTTTACAACATGGTTTAACTCTTGAAGATGAAATGACATTAAATGGTATTATAACTTGTGCTGTATTTGATCCTAATATGGAGATGGTGAGTCAGGGGATTTTTAGTCCATTCAAATTACCGAAATTAATAGAATTATTGAAAGTAACACAAATCTTGTATGGAATAATATCAAATAGTTACATTTTTGCTTTACCAGCTGATAGAAGGCTTCCTCAGCCATCTTTTGCACTGTAAAAAATGAAAATCAGATTATTTAGAAAACTGTATCCATTTATACTGTTATTCACATATAGATATATATTCAAAATGTATCACATATTATTACATATTATACATCTATTTTCAGGGAATAGTTGGAACTAGTGCCGGTACTCTATGGTATATTAACTGGTCTGAGAGAACCAGTCTTAGACTAGTATCAGGACATATGAATAAGGTAACGGTATTCTCTTGGCACTACTTCAAATTACAGATCGATTCATTTTCTGCAACTGTTTATAGAATTCTTTTACTTATAAAATAGCTCCCATTTAACTGATCAAGTACTATGTTAAATTTTTAGATCAGTATTTTTAGTACAAATCACTCTCTAAATGAATGCTATATAAACAGGATGAATGATGTTGTTAAAGAAATCCAACTACAAACTACTACGACTACCAGCATCCGCTGGAAGCGAACATTAAATTGTCATCTACCTACCTACCTGTTGTTCAAGATAAAAGTTTGTAGAAACTAATGATATTATTATACCTATAGATAAATGGTATGAGTATATGTAACAATGGTTTATTAGCTACTGGTGGAGATGATGGTAGTGTTAGAGTATTAACTATTAAAGATAGGGAACAAGCTTTACAGTTTCAAGTGTTAGATCAGGTAGCTAATTAATCATGGTCATTACATAGAATCTAGAGTGTTGGTAAAACTGTCTTTTTCTATCAATGTCAGAGATAAGATTAGAAATCTGCATGTAATTTGAACATAAAAAACAAATTATACGATAGCGCTGAGCTAGTTAATGTCAACTCTTTCTTAAATTAGGCCTAGAGCTCATAACTGCCAAAGGTTATCATGTGTTTTTTTTTAACTTTTTAAGTCCAATTTTCAGGTCCATTATTTTGCATTGACATCCTGTAAATACATTGCAAAAATCATATTCACTGTATATTTCAGAAATGTACCTGTCTAAGTTTTGCCCCACCCTCACAGCAATCCAATCAGTCTATACCTAATATAGCAGCTGGGTTTAGTGATGGTACAGTTAGGATGTTTGATGTTAATAAGGTAGAAATGGTGTTAAAGATGCAACCCCATGGTGTTTCTGTTACAGCTATATCTTTCTCATCAGACGGTAAGATATCAATTACATGTTTAGCCTTGAAAACAGGCCATCAGCGATGGATTGATAGGTTTTATAAACCTGCTTCAATTTACTACAAATTTTACTTCTATAAGGACGTATGTATAATATTCACTGTTTGGTCTAATCAAAACCAATTCGTCATAATCTAATAGCTGTTGTTTTGAAGTTTTATTTTAGTTGAAACTTTTGAATGATGAGAGTCATATTTCTTTACATGGCAAAGCAAGGCATGCACTTATAAAATTTTCCATGCTCCATGCCTCAAACGAATTTGGAAAAAATCACACTTTCCCTTTAACAAAGCGTGCGATATCATGTTATTTTTCAGGGCGTATGATAATATCTGGTAGTCAAGATGGTATATTATGTGTTAGTAGTATAACTACAGGTTTAACTGTTAGATTAATCAATGATCATAAAGGTTCACCAATATCTCAAATAGATATTACTGTTAAAAAGGCAAGACCACAT